ACAGTCATAGACTGTTTTGTCAACATGAAAGAGAGGAGGATGGCATTGGCGTTTCTCTAAAAGTAGGGTCAGTCAACATGTTTTTTCTACTTGCATGAACACACGCATGCACACACACAGCGAAATCAGAACCATGGACAGCCACATCATATTTAGCTTACATTGATTGCGGTGGTGGTCGGTGCCGTTTAAGATGAGAGTTGTTTTTATGAGCATGGCCTTATTTCTATTACAGCATATTGGATGACTGTCATTCATATTCCATTCACCCAGCTCAATGTAACATCAATAGATTTAGGCTACTACATGCTACTGTAATGTTCCTTGTACCCATCATGAGGTTGCTACAACCTAGCCTATGAATGAAAGTTTACAACGTAGGTGCCCAGGTCGAGAGAATTTTGAGTAATCAAGGTGACAGACAGTGACACATTCAATACTACCTTGCACACTCTTGCCTGCATCTCGGTGATCTAGGGTGTAATCATTAGTCCAACAGTTACAAATGAGAGTTTCTATTGGACAAATTCAGTTATGTTTATCTCCGTTTGCTTCCGTTTAAGATTTTTTTTCTTCAGATACGGTGGAATGAATACACCCCTGATCACACGCAAACACAGTTCACTTTCATAGCAGCCACATACAAACAGCATGATCACTTTGCTCGTTGTATATGTAAGTCCTTGTGTAAGTCCTTCTCGCAACTATCTATGCGCTCTCCTCCTCTCACCTTTTCCCTTCGCTTGTGGACTTCAGTGCACAACACATCAGCTGTCTGTGACCAGGCGAAAAAACCTTCCCAAGCCAAACCTTCATATCAAATCAAATCAAATTTTATTTGCCACATGCGCCGAATACAACAGGTGTAGACCTTACAGTGAAATGCTTACTTATGAGCCCTTAACCAACAATGCAGTTTTAAGAAAAATAAGTATTAAGTAAAAAATAGATAAGTAAAAAATACTTATTAAAGCAGCAGTAAAATTAAATAACAGTAGCGAGGCTACAGGGGGTACCGGTACAGAGTCAATATGCGGGGGCACAGGTTAGTTGAGGTAATTGAGGTAATATTTACATGTGGGTAGAGTTAAAGTGACTATGCATAGCTAATAAACAGAGAGTCGCAGCAGTGTAAAAGAGGGGGTGGGGTGGGGGAACAATGCAAATAGTCCGGGTAGCCATGATTAGCTGTTCAGGAGTCTTATGGCTTGGAGGTAGAAGCTGTTAAGAAGCCTTTTGGACCTAGACTTGGCACTCCGGTACCGCTTGCCATGCAGTAGCAGAGAGAACAGTCTATGACTAGGGTGGCTTGAGTCTTTGAAAAGTTTGAGGGCCTTCCTCTGACACCACCTAGTATAGAGGTCCTGGATGGCAGGAAGATTGGCCCCAGTGATTTACTGGGCCGTACGCACTACCCTCTGTAGGGCCTTGCGGTCGGAGGCCGAGCAGTTGCCATACCAGGCAGTGATGCAACCAGTCAGGATGCTCTCGATGGTGCAGCTGTGGAACTTTTTGAGCATCTGAGGACCCATGCCAAATCTTTTCAGTCTCCTGAGGGGGAATAGGCTTTGTCGTGCCCTTTTCATGACTGTCTTGGTGTGCTTGGACCATGATAGTTTGGTGGTGATGTGGACACCAAGCTCTCAACCTGTTTCACTACAGCCCTGTCGATGAGAATGGGGGCGTGCTCAGTCCTCTTTTTTTCCCTGTAGTCCACAATTATCCCCTTTGTCTTGATCACCTTGAGGGAGAGGATGTTATCCTGGCACCACACGGCCAGGTCTGACCTCCCTATAGGCTGTCTCATCGTTGTCGGTGATTAGGCCTACCACTGTTGTGTCGTCGGCAAACTTAATGATGGTGTTGGAGTCGCTATTTTAAGAGATTTAAGAGAATGAATGCAAATGTATGCTGCTAATGAACAATAACTAGGCCCAATCCATTACCTTTGAAACTATCCTCTTCGAACTGCCGCATCTGAATAAATAGGTTGGATGGATGGCTTCCATTGTCCAGCAATCGAATTGCAAGTCGTTCATATGCTAATAATCCAAATATTCTGCTTATAAAGATCTTGCACTGCTACCCTCAGCATTCATTGTTCTTCGAGGAGGTCAAAACAATCAATGGAACCCAAATGTATCCTCTATGTAGGCTACACCTACAGATGGGAACGACAGACCGCAAATAAGTCCTTCTGGAATTGCACCGAATATGATGCTTTCGAATGCCGAGGTCGCATAACCCTTACTGACGGGGTTATCTCTAAGTTATCTGGAGAACACAACCATATCCCGGACAATACTCAGATTCTGATCCGAAAGGTGATGAATTGCTTGAATGGAAAGAAGCCCAGAGACCCAGGAAGAAACTGACCAAGTTGTGGACCGTGGTACACATGGCTTGCCTGTGTCAATTTGGGGAGAAATGCCCTCTCAGAAGAACATGAAGAAGTTGGTGCAGAGGCACCGACAATAGAACAACGCGGCACCCCCTGTACCTACATCCCTCTCCGAACTCATCATCCCTGACAGCTATAAGGGCTACAACGGAGAGCTGTTCTTACAGCATGACAGTGGACCTTGGGCCAGACAGAATTCTGATCTTCACAACCACACGCAACTTGGAGTATCTGTGCGACTCAAAGGACTGGTTTGCAGATGGAACACCATTCACGGGTTGCAGGAGGGGAACATGGTTCCAGCAGTCTTCATGTTGCTGCCCAATATGACTGAGGTAAGTATCAACAATTACTATTGACATTGTTTTATTGAAGTGTTTATTTCCCCCCCCAAAAAAACTACTAAATGTAGGCCTAAACATGCAGTCGAACATGATATATTTTCTATTTTTAGGGAACATACGCTCGTACGTTTGCGGTGCTGAAGAGCCTGAGGCTCCCATCATGACGCTTCGATCATGACTGACTTCGAGCCAGCGGCTTTTAAAGCCTTCACGAAGGTGTTTCCTGGGACCCAGAACCGGGGTTGCTTCTTTCACATGAAACAGGCCATTTGGCGAAAAGTACAAACGCTTCCCTTAGTGCGACAAAAGTACCTCAACAACACCGATTACACCCAGGAGATCAGGAAGCTCGGCGCGCTCGCATTCGTCCCACCGGCTGATGTAGGCCAATGCTTCAATGACCTGCTTTCAGCGCCCGGAAAGTCAACTGGAGGAGCTCCTGACATACAGTACTTTCAGGCAATATGGTTTGGACGCATTTGAAGAAAGCCAATGTTTTCCCATAGGTATGTCTTGTTTAACATAATAATGGATTTATTATTATTATTATTGATGACAGCATGCCCTCTTTTTTTTCAGAATTATGGAACTGCTATGACGCTGTCCTGCAAGATTTGGCAAAGACCAACAATGCAGTGAAGGACTGGCATCTAACATTTTAGGTGAATCTTGGCGCTACCCACCCCACCATTTGGAAGTTTATCGAGGCATTGCAACAACAGCAGCAAAGAGGTGAGATGAGAATGGAGCAGCGACTTGCTGGTGTCCACCGCCATGGCAAGCAACAGAAAGATCTGAAGTCACTGGTTGAGAAGTACACCACGACTTAACGGCTGGAATCTTACCTGAAGAGCGTTGCCTACACTTATCAATTTCAACCAGTTGTGAATACTCCAAAATGCATCTGAGAAAAATGAGCACCTAGCCTACATGAACACTTCTTCATGAATTTCAACCCTTTCAATGACTGCAAAATCCTTATGAGACCAGAACACTAAGCACATTCTTGGACGATTTGTTCGTGAACTTGTTTTTATGGCACTGCATTGTCGTGCAGCCTACATTTTTTATTTTTTGTGGTTATTTGAAATAAATGTTTTAGGCCTACTTATTTTTACCCATAATTGTTTGTATTTTGCTAAGCTTTTTTGTTGATAAATACATGTTTTATAGTGAATGGTTGTTAATGGATGGTGTAAATTACTAGATAAAATGTAAATACATTATTCAAAACGAAAATACATTGTAGAAACTAGACATAGGTCTAGATATAGTATAGGCTGTTTTTAGCCTTCAGCCTTTATATAACCATATGACTGAATTTATATACAATATTCTGCCCATATGAACAAATGTATATAGGCCTAGGCCAGGTGTGTTGAATTTAGGCAATCATTGAACTGATCAATTAGCTCAGTTGGTCAGGTGTGGTGCCAAGTACCTGCAGCACTCCAGGAACATTGTTGCCTACCCTGGCCTAGGCTACAATATTCTGCCCATATGAACATATTTATTTTAGGCCATAACTGAACCAATTTATGTAAGCTATATATACAATATTCTGCCCATATGAACAAATGTATATACAATATTTGTAGCCATTCGTGATGTAATGAAAAGCAGTAAACATACCTGCCCATATGAAGGAATCTAGGCCTATATGCTATACAATATTTATAGTCATACATGATTTAATGAAAACCAGTAAACATACACACTCTTGAACACAATCATGCAATAGTAAACATACACAACATTGTTTCACATTCTTTAATAACAGACTCAAACACAATCACACAATAGGCTACAAACAGCTAGCTTCACAGCTTCCCCGGGAAAGTCAACGTATTGTAGTTGCAAAATATTACATGTTGCGGTGGTGCTTCGGGAGAATAGACAGACAGAATAGATAGGTAGGGAGCAGTGGAGGCTGGTGGGAGGAGCTTTAGGAGGACAGGCTCATTGTAATGGCTGGAGAGGAATATATGGAACAGAGTCAAACGTGGTTTCCATATGTTTGATGTGTTTGATACTGTTGAATGCGACATAAGAAGAATAATACAAAGAATAATAAAAAATAAGCTCAATGGAATAAAAAAAGTACATTTGCAGAAATATAAATACAGGGAAGGCACTCGAACACATTTACTCGACATGACAGAGAAGCATGTCTGTTCTATCTAATGCATTTCTATCTGACTGTTCTGCCCTCTGATTACAGCTAACAGGCTGTGAGTGTGGGCTGTTAATTGCTAATGACTGTCACCTGCTGCCTGTGTGATTGGCTACCAGATAAAACCCCTGGGGAGGGCCACATGAGATATCAAGCACTGTGTTCCAGTGGTATAGTTTACGGCTGGGTTGAGCTTGGTTGTGTGACAGTGGTGGCCCACCTACAAGCCAAAGCTCCCTTTTGATTTGGCATGATGCATGATTTTCTTTGTCTGTAAGTCTCCTGAGCTTTTGTTATGCAGTTTAGTCACTATATCTGAAAAGTGCATGATTTATATCTTTTTGTATTCTTGTTTTAGTGGGACATGGATTTTACTGGCTGTTGCAGTCTCTGGTGTGTTCCAGAGGCCAAGTTTCAAGCCCAGTTCACATCCAGGTAAGTGCTACCTAACTATAGAAGTTGTATAAATTTGCCTGCATCTGTACCTGCCTAACACTGATCAATATGACTTACTGGTACTTTCTCTCCAGATGGTGGTTTGAGGTCTGAGTGCCTTTGGAATATCATGAGGTTAACATTGGACAAAACTCTGGCTGTGGGGAGCCAGCTAGAAATCTCTGCCATCAGTGAGTAGTCTGAGTACAGAAGAATCTCACTTATGTAAACATTCCTTTCAAAAATCTGCTCTGCTCTTATCCACCACTGTGCTTTCAGATGGAACTGACATTATACCGTTGTCGCCCACCTTGGCTGCTCAGTGTGGCTACAGCATGGAGTCTGACCCTTGGGGAAACACCAAAGTCTTTGTGTCCTTGTTGGGCTGTTATGTTGCCAACCAGGTAAATCTTAAAGGGACATTGGTAAGAAAATGACAACCTGGGGGGGGGGGGCAACATTTGTATCTTGGTGACTAACTCTTTAGTCACTTATGAGTATTCATTTAGGGCACCTCATGCTGACGGTTGCAAGAGCTTTTGCAACAGCACCAGTCTTCCAGGTGGTCATTCCTGTTTCAGCCAGTTATGTTTGGTGTGTGTAATGAACATGACCCAGCACTAAATTTGTTCCATAGGCGGATGCAACATTTAACCTTGGCCTGCGATTCCGAATGTATGGCGATGGGCTGTCAAAGCAGGTCCAGCATAACGTGACCGAGACTTGCAGATACTCCCGCTGGGCCTCCCGGGAAATTCTCTGTGACAGGAACTACATGGAGGTGAGTCCATTCTGATCAGCCCTAGCTTTTCAGGTGGCCATATCAATACCTAACTTTAGAGTAAATTTGGATTGGGGGGTCAATGGCTTGGTTTACTGATGTTCAAGCCTTGGAGATCTGCTCTGTCCTTTAGGTGTCAACCCTCATGGTCACTCCGGAGGTCCCAACAGATGGCCAGAAGGTTCAAGAAGCATCCTGGCAGGATGCCATTCCTGACGTATGCCATTTTCTTGTGAATAGATTTGTCTTATACACGTGGACTGAATATGAATTGCTTGTCTACACTGAGTTGCTATTTTCCTTTTCCTCCACAGACCGTTGCTGCAAACAGCATCTGGAAGATTACATTCCACACCCCTGACTCGAAGGTCATGGTGCTGAAGGATGCTCACCGGGCTGGTTACGGCGCAACAACTACCCCAACAAGACTGGTGTTGCGAAGCCCCTACAACATGGCAGAGACCTACTCTGAAGACGTGAGCCTCCCTGGCCAAGCCATTTTCTGCATTCTGGTGTATCACTTCCCTGTTAACATGGCAGACATTAATTGGATAGAATATGCTTGTCATGTAGAAGGATCATGCCATGTTACTAATACATTGTCCTTCTCTCTCTAGGTGGCAGGTGTTCCCATGGAGGTCTTCAGTGTATCCACTTACTACAAGCAGATTCGCAGTTTGGCCATCATGGATTTGGCTGCTGCCTGTCCTACAGGTATGTATATGCTATTTAAATGGGACCCTCTCTCATGTTATCATTCCTGCTTGGAGAACTGCTGAACCGTAGGGGATTTGTCCCAACTTCATTCATCACACCTGGCTGACTGTTTAGCGAACGCCTTGATTAGCTGAACTGGGGGAACTTTGATTAGTGAGCCTCAACTGTATGTGCCTATGGACTTCATCCATGTATTGCTCTCATTTGGTTCCTTTGCAGGAGGCTTGGTCTTCACTGATGAGGTGATCACCTGGCACGTGCCTCGCCGCATCACCCCGCTGATCTCTAGCGCCGTCAAGATCCTGGAGACCCACATGGGCATCGATGGCCAGAGGTTGGACAAAACCATGATGGCCACCAGGCGCTACAAGCTGTCAATCACTGAGTCTCATGTTGTCATTGAGCTTCCAGTGGGGTCACCTGATGGCTACTACAAGGTCTGACTTGACTTGCATATTGTTCATAAGGGCGCAACAGTAATATTTGTAATGGATAATGAGCACTTATTGGACTAGTTCCAGTCAATTTTCATCTGTTTGGTGCTGACTGAACACAACCCTCTTATTTAAGATTACATTAATTGCCTGATTTGTAATAACCCTTCTGTTTGCAGAGTCATGCCCCAGATTATGCATACCACATAACCTACACTGTTGAACCCATGCTTGAGTTGCTGTGGAGGGCGGACGACACACAGGCTGACACGAGATACAAAGTCCTCTTCCCCATCACTACCCCTCTGATGCCCAGGCCTCCACATGTTATTGGAAGTAAGTCCGCTTCACTGGTACTAAAGGCAGGTCTGTTCAGGAGGATGTAAAGCGCAGAACGGTTTCCAAACCTCTAGTCTAAACATGTGCTAGCCCAAGGAGGAAGCCATAGCTTGCTGGTCCCTAGTAAAAAAATTACTGTAGAATATGGAATCATGTTGGCTCTTAGTTCATTACACTCTGCAGTGTTTTGTGCATTTTGGGTCACTGAACACACAGCTGTTTAACCCATGTTGGCCTTCAACCTTTTGTCTTCCAGACACAGTTCCTGAGCATAAGGTGTTCGACGTCCTCTTGGGGACCTTCCTCCATGATGTGGAGCTGCTGAACATTACCTTCTCCGCCAAGGTGCTGACTGTCGCTGAGTGCAATGCCAGAGGCTTTGACGTTCAGGAGCACCGCTTCGCCAACAGCTCAAAGACCTTCTCGCTACAAGTGCCCTTCTCGGATGAAGTTGTCCTTAAACATGTAAGTCCTTTTGGTCAAATGTATTGTAGACTGCTACACTGCCACCACTTTCCAACTCATTCTGTAGTAGAATGTTGCCAGTACAGGATCTCGTCTAGTAACATTTTGGGAGTTTCAGTTCATACAGTACTTGAACAGATGGTTAAGACTTAGATTTAGAATTGTTGCCACAATTTAGAACTGTTGGTACATGCAGAACACTACCAACATGTAATGCTTTTTTCCACAATCTGCAGAACCCTGATCCCATGACGACTGTTTACTTCCTCCCGCTGGTCTTTGGTCTGCTCATCCTGCCTGAACAAACCCCATTCTCCCACCCTGCTGAGCTCGAGGCCTCCCTGGAAGATGTTGGTAAGGGCACTTGGGTTAAATCTCCTCTAGTTCCCTTCAGTAGAATGACTCAAGGATGTTGGGCACCATATTACATGCACCCAGCCAGGTGCTTCAGATCAACTAAGGGGTTATTTTATTTGTAATGCATTTCATGACAGCTGTGAATTTGACTTTTACCCCTTTTTAGTTCTTCCCACAATCACTGGATTCTGCGACCAGGAACATTTCTACATTTCTGTGAAATATGGGAGCCAAGGGGCCAACTTCCAGACCATGATGCTTCATGCTGGTTCATGGAGGGAGCTGGACACTGAGCTGTATAGTCTCTCTGACAACCGCACGCACTTCAGTATCGTAGTGCCATTCACCGCTCCTGATACAGTGTTTGAGGTATGAGCTGTCGGCTCCATGTTTACTTGTAGCTCTGTAATGTAGCTTCACTACCCTTGCAATCCAAACTCTAGTGACACATGTGGTTCAGCTGACTCTATTGAACTACCTAATAAGCCAGGGGTTGTCATTTTTGCCAAAGCTTCCAGGTTGTCTTAATGTAACAAGTTGTCAAATGCTGTTTTTGGCTTACTTGTGGCCAATTTGCAGTGTCTAAATTATGTTCCTGACCATCTGCTTATAAAATAATGGTCCAGTGGTTAATTGCAGTTGTCTACCCCTGAACTAAAAGTGAAATATGTTTCAGATGGTACAGTCTGACTCTGTCAGAGCCAGAGTAGACTTGCTGCTCTTGGAGACTCCTAACATGTGGAAACTCAACGACCTCTCGCTCGCCTGCTACTTCCCCTTGACCATGACTGGTTTGTATTAAGTTTTGAGTCATTTTGTTTCATACTTTAATAATACTAACAAAGTTACACAATCTGGTTAGATATTACAAGAACAGCATTGGGTCAAGGGGCACACTGCCTTTTCTACACTTGCTTTGTTGAACACTTTGCTTTTATTTCAGAGTGCTACTCCAATGGCACAGTGACTGCACTAGCAGTGAAGGTGGAATCTGTTATTAACCTAAACCCTGAATACCTGACCTTGAGTGACCAGTCATGTAAACCTGCCTTCAGCAATGACCGCTTTGCCTTCTTCTCCTTCAACCTCAACTCCTGTGGCACCACCAGAACAGTAAGACTGCTTCTGGGCCCATAGTTGTAAAGTGTCTCAGAGTACAAGTGCTGCTCTGCAAACCAGTTTCCAAATCTTAACCTGGTTACATGGGCAAGGGGTATTAGCTCTGTTAGCACTCCTATGTTAACACAGGCCCAGGTGTATAGACTTTAACTTTCTGTACTGTCAATGACATGTCTAATACTGTACTTGTACTGATAAGTTTCCAGCTCTAATAGTCCGTCCCTGTCGTTGTAGTTCTTCGACAATTTCATGGTGTACGAGAACGAAATCGCCATGCACCACAGCACAAGCAAACATCAAAGTAGGAAAGGTCTGATCAATCCAGAATATCGGTAAGAATGTGCCACTAGGTTGTGACCTTACACCTCCGTCAAATGCATATCCCTCACTGGTTTGACCTTGTCTTTCAGGCACACAGTCTCCTGCTACTACCTGCTCAACCACACTGAGACCATGGCGTTCCGTACCAGGCCAAGGAACCAAGATCTTAAGGCTGCTCTTGGAGTGGGACAACTAGTGGTCCAAATGAGACTAGCCCAGGGTAATACTAGACTAGTTTGGGTGCAACACTGTCCCAATATGGGCTCAGGTTACTGGTTCAAATTTTAGCCTGATCCTGAACTTAACAAATCTCAATTTTGCCCAAACCTATCCCAACCATTGGCTTATTGAACTGTATATACAATCACTTTCAGGGAATAGGGTAACTCTGCTCACTGACTCTGTTTTCAGAGGTTTCTTATGACTTATTCTACCAAACGGAGGACTACCCAGTGGCGAAGTACTTGCGACAGCCTCTGTATTTTGAGGTGGAGCTTATGCAGTCTACTGACCCTCGGATAGAGCTGGTCTTGGACAACTGCTGGGCGACTCTACATGAGGACAGGACCACTCTACCTAGCTGGGACCTCATTGTGGACAGGTAGCTAGCATGACTTTTGATATACAAACGAAGGGACTAGTCTTTGGCTGTATCTTGGGCAGAATAATCAAGTGACATGACTAGGGTTGCATTCACCAGGAGCCAAACATTAAGGGACTACTTGTCCAATGAGAGACTCTTGTTTTAATTTCCTGTTGCAAAACAGATTGCTTGTCTGCACATGAATTAACCTGACAACTCACCCTGAATTTTCTTGCTGCTCTATCAATCTCGCTCCATATATTATTGTGGCGTAATGCTTGTGGACATGGCCTTTGGCTTGAGTGATGGTAGCCAGGCTACAGAGTCACTAGACACCAAATGGGGAGGGACTACCTCAACTTGCCTAATAAGAAAGTGTTCTGTTGCAGCACATGTTAAAATAAATGGTTTTTCTCATTTCCCTCAGTTGTGAAAATCTTGATGACCGCTACGTCACAGTCTTCCATCCGGTCGTTGCAGACGCCAGGGTTCATGTACCCGCTCACATCAAACGCTTCTCAGTCAAGATGTTCACCTTCACCAGGGATGAGAACGTCCTGAAAGACCAGGTAATTTAGACCAGTTGCTCTGAAGGGCATCCTTTGGTAAGCTAGCTTGAGTCATTTTTAACGTAACTCTTCTCTCCATAGATCTTTGTTCATTGTGATGCAGTCCTCTGCGACACCACCAAACATGATGGAATCTGCTCTGGCCAGTGTGCGAACCCCCTTAGGAACGCAAAGCCCCTCAGACAAACTGGCTCAAAAAGGGGTATGTTCATAAAGCTCTTACCACCGCCACCCCCCCCCCGACATTTCTGGCCTCAATGGCCCTCCAGACCCTTATGAAGTCTGATCTTTTTCTAGATCGCAGAGCCGCAGACGCCAGCCAGCAGCAGATCTCATCTGGACCCATTCTACTGTCTGACTCATCTAACTTTGTTTAGAAAATGTAATAAAAAGTATTCTCTTAATTTGTGTTCGCGCTTCATTGTACAATATAAATGAACACTAAGATTGGTTTAGTCTCCATAAACATCACCTTAAGAACTATTTCCTGTCAAACCGACAATGCTTTAATATAAACTCTTAATTGAGCCAATTCTCATGTATTGCAAGTTCAGTGTACCAGCACTAACGTTGTGCTGCGTAATGGGATACCTAGTCCAGGGATAAATTGACAAATGGTGTGCCCCTCCCAACAGAAGTAGTTGAACCCTGACACTTTTGGTCCTGGCAGTAAAGCCCTTATTTAATAGACAGTCATACGATTGTGTAAATCAACAGCTTTTTTCCAATATTTCAGGGCCAGCTTTAACACTGACACAATACCTACATTATTTCCTCTTTCAGACTTGAACTTAACAGTCTTGGTGCCCTACGTACAGTGGGGAGAACAAGTATTTGATTCCTCCAAACACGGCGAGTGGAGTTTAGACCAAAAAGCTCTATTTGTCTCATCAGACCACATGACCTTCTCCCATTCCTCCTCTGGATCATCCAGATGGTCATTGGCAAACTTCAGACGGGCCTGGACATGCGCTGGCTTGAGCAGGGGGACCTTGCGTGTGCTGCAGGATTTTAATCCATGACGGCGTGGTGTGTTACTAATGGTTTTCTTTGAGACTGTGGTCCCAGCTCTCTTCAGGTCATTGACCAGTTCTGGGCTGATCCCTCACCTTCCTCATGATCATTGATGCCCCACGAGGTGAGATCTTGCAAATCAGACATACTGTAACAACTTACAATCATGGACGCACCATAAAAAAAAAAAATGTTTTGACTTAAACACATACATTTCAATTACAGAAACATACAAGCATCAGATTAAAAATAAATAATATCTACCACAAGTCCTAATGACAATCCCATTCCTCAGTAACGTGAGTCAACCAAACTTTAAAACTCTGGAGTTTCAAGCTGGCCTGGAGAGAATTCCAAGACCACGGAGCTGAGTAGCGATCCGTTCTGATTTTAGGAAGCGTTTAAAAGTATGGAGTAACTGGTATTTATTTTCTGACCTTACCAAAGAAGAACCGATAAAGTGGCAGTTTTCCCCGAATGGCTTTATAGATCATAGTATACCAATGTTTAAGCCTACGTAGAGTCAACGAAGACCAGCCAACTACACTAGTGCTCCTGGTTCGAGTCCAGGCTCTGTCGCCGCGACCGGTAGACCCATGGGCGGTGCACAATTGGTCCAGCGTCGTCCAAGGTAGGGGAGGGTTTGGCCGGCAGGGATGTGGATTCGTTTCCCACGGGGGGCCAGTATGAAAAAAAATACATGTATACATCCACTAACTGTAAGTTGCTCTGCATAAGAGCGTCTGCTAAATGACTTAAATGTAAATGCTTGAGGTCTGCATATAAATTACATCACTGTAGTCCAAATTCACAGGAATGTGCACCGTACCAGCTCTTTTCTGACCTCCAATGAAAAACAAGCCTTATGCCGGTAATAAAAACGTATTCTCAACTTGATCTTTACCAGGTTCTCAACATGATTAGTGAAGCTCAGCTTCTCATCCACCCAAACTCCCAGATATTCGTACGTTTTGACTTGCTCTATGGAATTTCCGTCCGAGATAGTAAGACATGGTTTTCAGTGTTTTAGTATTGGAAAATACCATGTATTTTGTTTTAGAGGAATTCAGAAAAATCTTAAAATCATACAGATTCTGTTGAATGATGTTAAAAGATGTTAGAGCTTTTTTAAAAGCCAAAGTCAAACTTCTGCCACTTGAACAGACAACAGCTGTCTCAATATGTCTCCCAATGTTGTTGACATACAGTGCCTTCAGAAAGTATTAAAACCCTTGACTTTTTCCACATTTTGTTGTGTTACAGCCTGAATTTAAAATGGATTTCATTTACATTTGTCACTGGCCTACACACAACACCCCATAATGTCAGTGTATGTTTTTCACATTTTTTACAAATTCATTTAAAATGAAAAGCTGAAATGTCTTGAGTCAATAAGTATACAGCCCCTTTGTAATGGCAAGCCTAAGTAAGTTCAGGAGTAAAGATTTGCTTAACAAGTCACATAAGTTGCATAGACGCAATAATAGTGTTTATCATGATTTTTAAATGACAGACTCATCTCTGTAGCCCACACATACAATTATCTGCAAGGTCCATCAGTCGAGCAGTGGATTTCAAACACAGATTCAACCACAAAGACCAGGGAGGTTGTGGCAAAGCAATTAACTTTTTGTCCTGAATACAAAGTCTTATGTTTGGGGCAAATCCAGTACAACACATTACTGAGTTCCACTCTCCATATTTTCAAGCATAGTGGTGGCTGCATTAGGTTATGGGTATGCTTGTAATCGTTAAGGACCTTGGATTTTCCCTGATAAAAAAGAAACGGAATGGAGCTAAGCACAGGCAAAATCCTAGAGGAAAACCTGGTTCAGTCTACTTTCCACCAGAGACTGGGAGATTAATTCACCTTTCAGCAGGGCAATAAACTAAAATACAAGGACAAATCTACACTGAAGTTGCTTACCAAGAAGACCGTGAATGTTCCTGAGTGGCCGAGTTACAGTTTTGACTTAAATCTACTTGAACATCTATGGCAAGACCTACAAATGGTTGTCTAGCAATGATCAACAACCAATTTGACACAGCTTGAAGAATGTTGAAAAGAATAATGTACAAATGTTGCACAATCCAGATGTGGAAAGCTCTTAGAGAAAGACTCACAGCTGTAATCGCTGCCAAAGGTGCTTCTATGAAGTATTGACTCAGGGGTGTGAATACTTATGTAAATGAGATATTTCTGTATTTCATTTTAAATAAATTTGAAGTAAATTCTAAAAACACGTTTTCACTTTGTCATTATAGGGTGATGTGTGTAGATTGGTGAGAAAAATATATACATTTATCCAACACAACAAAATGTGTAATAAATCAAGGGGTGTGAATACTTTGTGAAGGCAATGTAGATAATAAACAACAGTGGACCTAAAATGTATCCTTGAGGCACACCTGACTGCAGCTATATGGTGTCAGACTTACAACCATCTGCATTACCACACTGGGTTCTATTTGACAGGTAGTTCACAAACAACTCTAGAGCATGACCAGTAATATCAATACACTTCAGTCTCTGCACCAATACAGTATGGTCCACAGTGTCAAATGCCTTTCACAAATCTATGAACACAGATACACAATGCAACTTCTTGTTCAGAGCACAGTGAATATCATCCAAAACCTTTAATGTTGCTGGAACAGTGCTGTGGCTTGACCTGAAACCTGATTGCATACCACTCAAAATATTGTTTTCCTGGTGGTAGGCCTTAAGCTGCTTATTGACTAGGGACTCCAATACTTTTGCCAAAACATACAATTTAGACATGGGCCAATAGTTATTCAGTAGAGTGGGATCACCTCCTTTCAAAAGAGGTAGGACAAATGTGACCCGTTTCAGGAAGTTAGGCTTATGTCGCACATCACTACTTCACAGCAGAGGCATTTTAACGTTTTTATTTTTATCTAAATGCCTTCTGGAACATGTGAACTTTCATTTGCCTTAATAACAAACTTGTATTCCATCTGTAAATACGAATAAAATTGTTAAATTACGAGCCTAGTTGGTTTAGCCACAGAAAAAGACAGGAACCTTCCCGCTAGCCATGATTGGCTGAGATAATGGTGGGCTGGACATGCCGGGAGATGAGTTTGGATTGGTCTGCCATGTAGCATGTTTCTGTCTATAACGTGAGCTGCTCAGTATGTGTTGATAGTCCTTTCTACCACAGCATTTTTGAAAGATATAACTACAAAAGTTTTGCTACTTTTCTCAACAACATTGATGCCCTGAATTTAGCAGGCGTTATCAACAGATCAGATGGAAAAAGTTGTGATGGGCTACTTATTGCACACGCCACGGTCAGTGTGAACCGGAATGACTTGACACAACACTGGCCAAACAAGATATAGCTACAAACAAAACAAAGTACATGTTTCCAGTCTGCCATGAAGTGTTCATCCATGTCTAGCAACATTTTCAGATATTATACATTTCTAATTTTGTCAGAAAGTCATTTTCATTACAAGTTAAAGCGTACTGTTCGCTAGCAAGTGAATGTTAGCTTGCAGGCTCGCTAGCTTACGTTATGTGTATGATCTGTGTAGTAATATTATTCGATTCAGAAATCTATTTGCATTGCTAGTTAGCCTAATTTTAGCTAGCTAACATTGAACCTAGTTGGTTGGCTTTAGCTACCTGCAGATTCCTACTACAGCTATGACAATGTTTGCATTGGTAGTAGTATGAGTTGGGATTATGCCGGTTCATTGTTTAGCTAGCTAGCTACATGTCTAAACAAAAGACTCCACTTCGCCAGATGATTACATGACCCATCAAGTTACAGGGATGCAAACTGGCGAGGGCTCAAAAATTTGACAAATGTTTTAAATGCTAATTTCTAGTGACTTTTAGACTGGGTCCCTTCTTGAAATGCAGGTTTTAACGGTGTACTAATTCAACAACAAATACATTATCTACATGATCAGTCTCTGTGTGTAAAATAAAAAGTGGCTAATGTGAACCTAACTCATAGCAAAAACATTTAAGGAAGCAATCCAATGTTATTTGTTGCCTAGACTTTACTGCAAATGACATTCAAGTCCACAGAATAAACAATACACTAATATTGCAGTTAGCCATAACAGCCTTTATAATACAACGCTTGTGACCACACACATCTAAATAAAAAAAACCCATCTTAGTAGAAATAGAATGAAACAAACAAGCATTCTATTTTTGATCTATTATAGTGGCTATGATTATGGTGGCCACTATAATAGACATCAATCAAGTGCACAAGGCTAAATGTGTGCAAAAATAATATTCACTGAGTAAAAATAATGATAAACTAACATTATAGCTTGAGGAACAGCAAGGAGTAGCATACCAGTTAATACTATAGCTATT